AGAACAACGGTCTTAAAATGGCATCCAAACCAGGTTGAGGTTAATAGGCCTAGGGTTCTCTACAATTACAATGCTATTAATTACTTCTGAAAAATCATAAAGAAGACAGAAAAGCAATCGACATTGGACAGATTCTTTAACCCCCACAAACGGAAAAAACATGACTAATAAAAATGCAAGACCGTGTATACATATATTTTTATTATTACATATAAATAAACGTAATAAGAAAGTATAGTCTATATTTTTTTTTATTTTTGGAGGTCTCCAGAACGAATTAATCAAATTCCCATAGAAACCTATGGTAAATCGATAATCGGTTAACGAACAATTCGGATAACGAACAAAGTCTTGGAACGGATTATGTTCGTTAACCAATCACCCACTGTATAGTCAGATTTTATATGAAAATATCAAACAAATTATAATTCTTATTAAATTCTAGAAACTAAATTTAAACACAACAATTAACCTAAATGCTAATTCCAGCACTGAATGAACAAAAAATTTTAATGCTCGAACGTTTTCGTTCGTCTTTTAGAGGCCTTCCTCAGGATGAAACACACAAAAAAACAGTTCTATCATTTGAAAACTTCTAACCGTTGAATACAGCTGTGTTCCAAATATTTAAACGATGTATCGTACAATATAAAAATTGTATATTTACAACATAGGCAAAAGGGCTTCACATCCATACGGAAGTGAAACCCTGAATGAACAACTGATGAATGAACAAAAAATTTTAATTTTTTGTTCATTCATCAGTTGTTCATTCAAAATTGTATATTTACAACATAGGCAAAAGGGCTTCACATCCATACGGAAGTGAAACCCTGAATGAACAACTGATGAATGAACAAAAAATTAAAATTTTTTGTTCATTCAGTGCTAGAATTAGCATTTAGGTGTTAATTGTGTTTAGTATATAGTTCCAGTTTACTTGTGCTAGTTTTTTGTCTGCTAATTTAATTTGTTGAATGTAAGCAAAAATTTATTTTATTTGAATGTTATCTTTCTGAAATACCTTGGCAAACTGTTCCAAAACTATAGCAAATGAAGCTCAATTTGTTTTAAACACTTTAAACAATATGTCGAGTTTAGGAAAGCGGGATTTTCTTGTTCTGTTGGCCACATAAATGGGGTTATATAAATGTCACTTTTGGATACTCCCATCTTGGCCACTCAAGTGAGATGGCCACTAATACAGAGTTTGATTTATATTAAAACTTAATGCAATTTAATAGTGGAATTTTTGGGGTGGTTGCAAAGCAAGGTTTTACCTTATGTAAAAACTTAGAAAGAAAATTAGTTCTGTTAACTAGCACATTACAATGGTAAGAGTTATGCTACATAGTGGCAAAATCACCACTTGGTGATATTTTATTAAAGTGGCAATAAAAACCCAAGTCTGCTTATTTTGACATTTGGCAGGAAACTGAATTGCAAAACACACTTTGGGAAAAATGATAGAACGTTGCACTCTCGTGCACCACATACCTAGCAAAGTTACGACAATGTATGGCTAGTTTGGACTGGAAAGCAGGAGGTGACGAGAACCAAATGTGAGGTTCCAAAAACGGGTTGAAATTAAACATTTATTATTAGAAATTTATTAAAACGAAACTAGAAAAAAATCATCCATTGTTAAAAACCGATCAAAGATCAGATTAGTCGTGCTAGTCATATGAAACCACAACGAGAAAAAAAATGCTATTGATGTAAACAGAACGCAATAATTATAAATGATTAATAATTGTAAACGAACGTCCTCCAGTAGAGATGAACCTTTGACAAGTCGCTCATATACAAATAATTAGAATATAAAAAATTTGAAAAGGGGAAAGGTTAATGACAAAAAGGGACATTGTGTCGGGTCATTAAATTTCAAAAACATCTCAGATTAGACAACAATGGTGGAAAACATGAGCGCAAGTTTCAAAGTTTCATCAACATTTTGCATCCAGAGTAACGGATGGTGGGAAGTAGATTCTTCGAAGCAAATCTTTCTAATGACTCAAACGGGAATTGTCTTTCGCTTAGAGACAGATGAGGGACAAGTCGGGGAGCGAGGAAAAAGGGACGTGGAGCCAATCAGAATAAACAAAACAAAGAATGGAGATTGATATAATCCCTGATCTTCAAGGACAGTCTCACATTCCGAAAACTGTGCAACTGTGCACCTGCACACGGTTAGTCAATGCAAAAACGCAGTTTTCGTCTGTTGTGCCCAACTTGTAACCTGTGACTACAGACTCAGACCGTCGACACCAAGAGACGAATCTCCACACCTGCCGTTGCCCCGAGGCCTACCTTCGAGCAACATTAGAAAACACCCTCGACAATTCAAACATCCAATTGTTTAAAGAACATTTTTGTTTCATAGTGTAAGTTATTTTTATGTTTAAAATAAACAGGTTTTTGTGACATTCTTGTCATCTGTGTCTCCTTCGCCACACCCACATGTGAATGACCCTAGATCAGGGGTGTCCAACCCGCGGGCCGCATGCGGCCCAAGGCAAGTTCCAATGCGGCCCAATAAACGTGTAAACAAAACCGACAAATGTTTTAATTTTTTTATTATTTATTTATTTCTACGGCATAAACTCAAAAAAAAGTTTCACAAAGCCGTAAACCTTTATTCATATTTTATTTTTGAGTGGAAAGAAAGTATTTTCAAATACTTGGAGATGTGTGAATGCGGAAGGATTACTAAATAAAGCTGGAGTTGTGACTCAAAGGATTATAGACCCAAATTTGGGGAAAGGAAGGAAAGATGAGAAAGGACAAAAGATGCAGTAATGAGAAACGTTAAATAGATCTTCTGTTAAGCAAATATGGAGCCGTAATTTTTCAACCTTTTTCACTTCTTTATCTTTTGTCCTTTGCCTGTTTTTCCCCGCACTTGGGTCTATAATCCTTTTATTCATAACTCCATCTTTATTTAGTATTCCTTCCAACGTTGCAAGATTTGGCTACATTGGGCCAAATGTGGCTACATTTTTTTTGCTTGACGTAAAAAATATCATTTGGCGCTTTGGCTACTTTTTTCGGCTACATATTATTTATAATTATATTAATTGAATAAAAATGCACTTTAAAATGGTGTTTCATCGCTTTTTATTAATTAGAGACCCAAATAAAACAAATATTTGTGTTTTTCAAATAAATTTTCTTTAGTCTCTTTTATAATAAATGAATTTATCTATTTCTAAGTAAAAATTGAAAGTGTCTGTAGAAGTAATTTTTTAAAATATCCTTTTTTCTGGATAAAGTTTTAATACTTATTATTATAATCTAGACATGTTAATTTTTAAATATACTTGTATATTGGGCCACAAGTATATATTATATATACTTGTGGCCCAAAACTCCTTGACTTCTTCCAATGCGGCCCAGAAAAAGAAAAAGGTTGGACACCCCTGTCCTAGATCATCATGACGCAGGATTAAGGATTTCCCCTGGAAGTCGAAGAACTTACACTGGTGTCTGAGGAGTGGGATTTTAAGTCCCTAATCTCCACCAGGTCAGCAAACTTACACAAAGGCAGTTTCCATTTTTTCTGTCCGGCATTTCCAGTTTGGGGATTTTTTATTGACTGACAGAAAATTTGGGGAATATTTTTTAGAGTGACATTTTTTTTCCACTTTTGATCTTTCTCAGAAGACTAGAGCATAAAAATTTTGACAGGACAGAAACTGTGAAATACTGTTTAAGCACTGTAATCAAATGTGTTGTTTGGATTTATTCATTAGAAATCATTTTTGAATAACTTTTTATTTATAAGTGACAGCTTAACATGTTACTTTTGCTTTCCATACTTCAAACTGGTAAAGTTACCAGCACCAACAGTAATTAGTAAATGAAACTGGTGGTGAAAAAAGTAAAAACTAGTGAAATGGTTGGTGACTTTTTAAAACTTTTCAGACAACTCCTGCAATGGTATAATTCGGTGGTTTTTCAACCTTTTTCTTATCATTGACCAGTAATTAAATTACTGGTCAATGATAAGACATTGACCAGTAATTATGCTTATGTATGCTTATCTACAGGTCACTTTATGCAACAAAGCATATACAATAATTTTATATTACTATTAAATAGTAATCTAAAAAGTAGATTACAGGTGTCATTTAAATTTTAAATGTCACCCATAATCAACCAATGTTGTCGTTACCTGTAATGCCATTATCAGTGCAATCAAAGGTTTTTCTGTAGACAGGCAGTTGAAAAACACTGGTATAATTGATTATCCAACAAAGTACATGCAAATTATGAAGATAAAAAAAACAATTTTTGAAAAGAACAACATTATTGGTTTTTGCTCACCATACATTTGATCAACAATCATATGGCAGAGGCAGACTAAATACTTAACACCAGAAAAATTAATTCAACTTGACAAACTAGATTTTTTGAAATTTTTTTTTTTGACTTTCCACAATTTTGTAATTTTTGAATATTGTAATGAAATGATCTTGTGAATACCATTTTGAAAATTTTTTTTTTTTCAAAATGATTATCTAAATAATTAATTTTATATTCACAAGATCAACCATTTTGAAAAAAAATTTTTTTTTTGAATTTTTGGAATGTTTTTTAAGTCCCCAAATTTTTTCAAAATTTTTTGCCCATGCGAAAAAATTTTATCGCAATTTTAATTAGCCTTTGATAAGGCTCGATTAAGGCTTAATTGTTTTTTAATGGGAGTTTTCTATCAAATTTAATTAATCGTTCTAAAGTTGTTGTGCACGGATTTGACTTCTGTAAAGTTATTTAAAGCTGCTTTCTGATGTCAAAAACCACCTCCAATAGTTTTAAATTTTTTAAATTAATATATTTTACTTTATATAAATTTAATTAATTAGGGGTGGTCGGAAATCGCAATAAAATTTTTAATTTTTTAAAAATATTTAAAAATATAGGCCTAGTTAGTAGTCACCCTACTTTAAACCCTTGTCCTCCCGAGACGTCTGAGAATGTCCCGGGAAATCCAACTCCAGCTGTTCTCGAGGTCATCCAGCTGTGTAAACAATGACTCATCGGTGTTAAATTTCGCAGAAAGGCGAGACAAAGGAACTTAAACTTCAAAGCTTTTTCTTCAAAATAAACACATTTCTTTCGTTTTTTTTCAGTTTTAAGTATTTTTTACGTTTAATTAAATTAATATCAAAAATGTCAATGTCCTTAAGGGGTTAAAAGAAGTTTTTTGATGATTAAGCAAACTTGCAATGTCTTTCCAATTCCTACAATTGTCCAAGGCCAATAATTACTCAGAAAAATACTTATTAAAAAATTCTTATATTTATATGCATTTTGGATCGGTGCCTTGCCGATTCTTCTTTGGTAAAAGGACATGTAATCTGCAACAGAAATCACACTTCGTTTTTAATTTTCCTGTCTATCAATCACAGGTTGTCAGAAATTTTAGTGATTGATAGAAACCGCACTTCGTCATTTGTTTTCCTGTCTGTCACAGGTTACATGTCTTTTTATCAAAGGAATCAGCAAGGCACCGATCCTAAATGAATGTAAATAAAAGAATTTAAGATTTCTAATGAGTAATTATTGGCCTTGGACAATTGTCGAAATTGGAAAAATGTTTCAAGTTTGCTTAAGTCTAAAAACCCCTTTTAAGTGATTGTCATAATAATCAATAAAATATGGCACAAAAATATTGCTGTTTTTAGCATGGTGTGATAAATAAAATTAATGGTAAAGAATATTATTTGAAAGTATTGTAACAGTTATAAAGATGGCCTTTTTTCATAGGGAATAGTATCATTTGTTTTTCAAGATTACAGTCGACCCCCCTATAAGATATAGATACGTTCCATTCTTTAGGAATCCGATTTCTTACGAGTCGTTCCAATCACAGCCCGACACATGTCAAGTTTACGGACTATGGCTGATTGAAAGGTTTTCTTCCATAAAATTAATCGATTCTAGACTAATCCGGCTCAACATTTCCAAAATACGTATATTTTTTTGGGAATAATCCGTATAAACTACGCTATAAACAAAAAATTGTAGGATTACTTACCGAGTGTCACCATCCGACATCGCCATTGCTCAACATTGTTTTCGTCGCGGAACAGCTCAGCAATCAATCAATCAATCAATTTTTATTTACATGTGTACAAAGTACATCCCCAATACCGCATAGCACAATTGGGGTTGATGATGGCGTACAGGACAATGGAAAATGGTACAGAACATGTGATTACCAAAATACAATATAAAATTAAACACACAGTAAGTACACAGAAACAAGATAATAGATTNAACTCGATTTCTTTAGCAATTGCCCTACGTTCCTCTATAATTCAGCCGTCTTACAATGTTCCGATACCTCTGATCTCTCACTATGCGATCAGGGTGTGATCCTCCTTCGGTTTTCTATCGCAAGGTTTTTTACTTCTTGCTTGACCCCTCGGTCAGGACCACACTTGTTTTCGTCCTCTCTCGACGAAATCGCAGCCACTTCTCCTTTCTTTCACCTCGCCTCCTCTCCAGGGGTTATTGCTCCTTTTGTCTTCTTGACATTGTTTTACAGAATCGGTGATGTCACCTGAGGGAATAGGCATTAAGGGAGAAAGTTCTAGAACAGTTAAGACAAAAGAACAGAGGAGATACTAAGCCTAACTAAAATTAACAAAAATATATATAAAACTATGGCCGACGGCTACAATGGAGTACAGGACAATGGAAAATGGTACAGAGCATGTAAATAAGTACACAGTAAGTACACAGAAACAAGGTGATAGATTAAGTAGGAGATGGAGTGAAACCATGAACAGGTGTGATCCTCTGGTATGTATTTATCAGCTTGATGTAAAGTTTGTATAGTTCTTTGCTGTTGAGGAAGAGTATGATGATTACAGTGCCAAGTGATGTTAGCTGGAAGGCTTGTAATAATGAAAGTCCTTTCCCTGAGGAGCATAGGACAGTCAAAAACATAGTGGTCACTCCCATCTCGGACGCCACAGTAAGCACACAGGCTGTTGTCCTGGAAACCGAAATGATTGAGATAGCTGTTGAAGCAGCCGTGGTTGGTCAGGAATTGGGTAAGGTTATGACTGGGATTTAGTCGTGCTAGGTCATTCCTGTGCTTGATGTTGGGAAGGTAGGCATGGGTGGTAACATTATGATCTCTGTCCCAGGCAGTTTGCCAGTTGATTTGCAGTTCTTCCCAGAGGGTTTTTGCAAACATGTGAGAAGGGAATAGCTTTGTACTGTATAGGAAGACTGTCACCAGTGGTGGCTTTCTTAGCCAATGTGTCTGCCCGTTTGTTTCCTCTGGTGCCCTGGTGTGCCTTAGTCCAGATCAGATAATAGTTATTACTTGAACGCAGGAGGACGTGAAACTGTACAATGTACCTAGAACCACTCTTTCATAAAAGTACAGTAGAGCCTTGATTATCCGACCCAATTGGGGACTGGGGTTGGTCGGATAATTGAAAAGTCGGATAACCGAAAAGTATGAAAAAATCCATTACAGTAGAGCCTCGATTATCCGACCCAATTGGGGACTGGGGTTGGTCGGATAATTGAAAAGTCGGATAACCGAAAAGTATGAAAAAATCCATTATTAGTGTAGTATATTATTATATCCCATGTAATTAGTATATTAATATATTGCTATTAACCTACTTTGCGTTGAATTTTCATCGATGTTAAGCCTAACAAAAATTTTTTAAAATAATAATCGAAACTATTGTATTGTTAAAAATTAGAAAATTAAGCCTCGTTTAAATACTGGCTCCCTTTCATGGTCGAATGAGTGTTGCCAGCTAAAACACGTAAAAATAATATTAAAGTAGCCAAGACATAGTCAAATATTGTAGCGCCACATCACTAGCGGACATTTGAAATTTGCCGACTAGGACGGTCGGTTAATCGGGGTCGGATAATCGAGGCTCTACTGTATAGGAAAAATATCTTATGCAAATAAAGAGGGATCCTACTACAATTTTAACTCAAGCAGAAGAGTAATGCAGCTAAGGTTTACTGTAAACAAAGAATATTTGTTAGATAGTGTGCAAATATAGTATCTACTATAAAGTCTCCAAATTCATTTATGTACAAATATTGTATTTAATTAAACTCAATGGTAAAGCCTGATCACTAGAAGTCTTTTTATAAAATATTTAAATGCTGTTTTTGCATTTTTTTAGTTTTTTATTGTTGTTTTCTACAGAAATAAAATGTCAGTGAAGCTTTTTTAGTTCAATATTACTTTCACTTCATTGTCAGGCATTGATACTTTCAATGTCAGATATTAATGTAACCATCTCAAAGACTGGTACGAAATGCAATTTATGGACAAAATACATATATTTAAAAATACCTGTTTTCTGAGTAAATTTGCATTTGTAATGCTACAAAAGAACCATAGGTAAATAGTATTTTTGAATAAACTAATTTTGCACTAAATAAATTTCATAAACTTTTAAATAGCTGTAGCTTTAAAGTATGTCACTAATGCATTTACCTTAGCTTTCATGTAGTTGGTTCAGATAATTATAAGTAATCCTTGAACACTTCAATCTTGTAGATACAATTAAGTGATATTTCACACTATTTTTGTGTAATAGTGTGAAAATAGTGTGAACTATTTTCACACTATTTGTGAATGAATCGTTCTTCATTCAATGGTGTATGCATCATAAAGATGATACCACATTAACAATTCTTATATACATGGAGAAATGAGCATTTATGAGATGGTAATTTAAGCTGATATCAGTATCCTAACAAAATTTATGCTATTCTCCATTGAAATGATCATTTAATGATATCACACTTTTTAGAACTATAAACAGTTTTAATACAATATTTTTCTGATTTTTTTCTTAAATTAACCAAAAGTATCAAAACCACTTTAAATTTAAAAAGTTTTAGTACTTTTGGCTAATTTAAGAATATTAATTATTATTAAAAACATTTAAATACTAAAAATTAAATATTAAAAAATATTAAAATTTGAAAGTTTTATTATATTAACTGTTTGATAATGAAACTGCATCTTAAGCCAAGGAAGCTTTAAAAATGTATATATCAAGATTAAAGAAATTCTTTAAACATAAGCTGATTTTCTAATTTTTTACTTTTTGGTGATAATCTGTAAAATCTATTTGTCATTAAAGCAAAATGTTAGTTTCTAATACATTTGGTTCAAATTCAATTTAAAATTATTTCTTTAATTACTATATTAAATAATATGAGTAAAAAAATTTTTTAAATTTCATTTTGTTGAAATTTTTATTGCTGATGCAAACAAATAAGAAAAAATAGCAATCTCTGCATTAAAGAAACTACTGTATTAGATGACTAAGGAGCTATTTGTCTTGTCATACTTGATGTTATTGCTGAATGTATAATAGAATATCATTTAATATAAAATTAAAATCAATCTAAATAACTTAAATATAATTACTATATACAAATGTAATGTACAAGTTAAATAATAATAATAATACTAAATAATGATACTTATAAGATATAAAAAATTTATCTTGAAATTCATTAATTATTACTATTAGAAATTCAAATAATAAGTTTTATTTCCCCATAGTACCCAAAACACAGAAATTATAATGATGATTGAAATAAAAATTATGAAAGAAATTACTCTCACATATCTCTCACATACATATCTCATTTGTATACAAAACATACAATTCATATGATTGGTTTTTTTCAGGTATCTATTCAGAATGTACATATTCGATATGAAGATATTGTTAGTGGTCACAGTGCATTGGCTTGTGGAATACTTATTCAGAGTCTTACTGCCATTACTACAAATAACAAATGGAAACCAACTCAAATAGATGGTGATGCCAAAAGTATATTTAAGGTACTGTACATTAAAATTTTTTCTATATATTAATTTATAAATCTAATTTATATATTTTAACTTCTCAAAAGTATTCAGACAGCAGTAATATAAAAAAATAAAAATTTAATAAGGAAATGAGTAATGTGCCAATCGTTTTTTAAACTAAAAATATATTAAGAATGATAGGATAATCTTTCACGAAAGATTTTGACTAGTTGATGATGATAGAAAATCAGAATTATGTCATTCTTCTTTTTAATGTAGTCATACATGCAGCAGTGGGAGAAAAATATATTGACTTCATGTTGCTCCAGTGTTCTAAGTTATCTCATAGATATTTTGAGATAATATCCTTTCAGGACATTTTTTAAATTTTATTTTTGATGTGAACAATATTAGCTTTATAAGATGAACATTATTGTGCTGAACACAAGCAGCCCCTTTCTGTTAAATTTCCAGAATATAGTTATCCAAAATGTTAATGAGTTATGTACTGTTGGGTCAATTTGATATTGTATCAAGAATCTCTGAGAATTAACTCCAATCAATGAATTATTCAAACTTTATTGCTGGGGCAATACAATGTGTTAGGTAATATTTTCTAGGTATTCTTTAAACCCAAATTTAACTGTTTAATATTACTATTCATTCTATAGATTATTTTTCCATTGTTCTATAGTCTATGAATAATATGAAAATAATATTATAAATATTTGGCATTTGTTGTTGTGATAAGGACTTAAAACTATTTGGTACTAGATTTTATATAGTAATTCTACTGTAAAAACAAATTGAGAATTGATAATTATGATTACAATTTGCAATTCTGAGCTAATGTTTTTCTTAGGCTATCGATAACAGCTTTTATCATTTTCTTTATTTCTCAGTGATTCCCATTTGTTAATTAATGGGATCACTGAGATTACATTAATTTTTAGATTAATTTTCATTAATTAATATTAATAGTCTTTTAAATTGTTTTTTAATCTCTGCATGACTGTTAATCTTTTATTTCCTTACATCAACTGTTATTGATTTTAGGAGATCCAGATGATTTATAGCATGTAATGATTTGTAGTATGATTTATAGTTTGCAAATTACTGATGAGATATCCACTAGTGAAATTAGACTAAACTAGCCTTTAGAGTTCTTTACTTCTATACCACATCTTATCTTGGTGCTACTGGTATCTGGTGTTTCCAGCATTTTCTTAAAATCATTCCTTTTGTATATAAATAAGTTTTTATTATTTATATTGCTGAAGAATGTCCAAATACTTTGAGAAGATAATTTATTTATTAAAATAGAAAGCTAACAAAATGCATTCTCTTAAATTAATTAAAAAATTTTCAGTTAGTGAAGCTGGAATCACTATCAATATATGTAAATCCAGTATGCCACCCAGAAAACTTAGTATTAAGAGATATGCATTCAAGTTTTTGGAAAGTAAGTATAAAATATTTTTGAATTTAAATTTATTTAATATTTTGAAGGCTTGAAATTATAAAAACTTGATCCTTTACAGAAATTAATATATATTTTACTAAGTATATTTTTAATAATATATATTTTTCATATTTCAAAATGTGAAGTGGGTTTTTTTTAAATTACTGTTAAGTTGGTATGTTTCTTAAGTTTTCCAAAATGGTTGGTATGATAGAACACAAAATAAACAAAGAAAAAATTGAATTTTAATAATATCATAAACTCAATATGTGTTACTGACTGTAGAACCAAAGGACAAAGAAGCAGAGTTATAAGTATTTAAATTTGTTATTTTGTATACAGGGTATTTCAAAAACCTACCAACAACTGTGAAGAGTTACAGTTACACAAAAACAGTCACTTTTTTTTAAATAAATCCATGTCTGAAAAAAACCATTTTTAGCAATAGAGCAAATTATTATAATTTAGAACCATCATTCACTGGTTAGCCAAGTTGTGGCAGCCAGTGAGAATCTGAGCATCATTTTGTTTTTGTTTGACTTTTTGCTTTTGTTATGTTGTTGTTAAAAAACATTAATAAAAATACCTTTATCCTAATGAAGGTTATTGAAAATTTTCAAAAAGATAGTAGTTTTTACTGAACTGGCAATCTTCATGTTTCATTTCTTACTCATTTACATATTTGAAATTCTTCAAAATGATTGACCATTTTGAAGAATTTCAAATATTTTTTTTCTTTTGAAGAAGAAGAAGAACTGGCTTTATTATGATCAAGCAAATTGTAATGGACGAGAAGCTGCATGCTTGTATGAAGAGAGGTATTCCAAGAAGCCATCAAGATCTTCTGGCAAGAGTCTTAGCCAAAAGATCTTACACACATATACAAGCTATTCTAGGAATATTCTACAGGGTCTGTGAATGCATGAACTGACAGTGCATCTCTGTATCATTTTGAACACCAGCTGTAATTTCAAATAATTTGTTCTATTGCCAAACTGGCTTATTTTTAGATGTGGGTTTATTATCAAAAAGTGATTGTTTTGGTGTCCTCTATTACTCCTCTAAGTTTGTCAATATGTTTTTTGAAACACCCTGTATAACACAGTCTTATTGAATGAATATCCTTACATCATAATACAGTGCAATGCTGATGGTACAAAATGTAAATTATTCAGAGAAGTTGTAAATCTTCTCAATACCTCCACTAGTTTGGGTCTTCAAGTTTTAGCAAATTTAAGAATTATTTTTTCTTGTGGGATTTGATTTCAGTTTTAATTGCTTGCATCCAGTTTTTTAAATCTGGTTCTGTAGGAGTTTTAAGAATCATATGGTTCTAAATTGGAAATGTGATGAGCAAAGTCCATCAGTTTGAGTGAATCACTTTTTATTCTCTTTAGTTTTTGATTATGTATTTTATTATATTTACTTATTTCATCATTTTCAGTTTTGCTTGAGTTTAGTTTATAGTATCACTATAAACTATATATTGAGTTTAGTTTCAGTTTAGTATTATAGTATCACTTTCATTATCTTCATTTTCTGAATTTATTTTTGTGCTATTTGATCCATGGATCCTATCATCATAACAGTCATTGTTTTATGTTTGTACTTTTATTTTTATTTCATTGTGTTTTTCTCTCTTCATGATATCTGCATTTTCATCTAGTTTTGTATAAAAAATTATTTTTTATAAACTGTGCATGTTTTTACAATTATTCACAAAACTTCTGGTCCAAATAAAGTATGTCCTTTAACATTATCTTCATATCCAATAAAAATACCTTTGCTAGCTCTGGATCAAGTGTTTTTCATTTTTGTTTTGATGCTAGCACAAAACTTTTATATTGACATATTTGTAGATTTTTTTTACATTTGGTGTTTTGCATTATCTTATGCTTTATTTAGTATCATATTCTTTACAGCTACTAGAAAAACTTTTACATAAATTACAATTGATAAAGCTTTAGCACAGAATTCGTTTGTTGGATTAGCATCATGCTGATCTAATAAAATTTCAGCTAATAAAATAATTTCAGCTCTGAACTGAAGATGTATCAATTGCAATTTATTTTTAAAATCTTAACATGCATATTGACTTTTCAAGTTTACTGTGATTGCACCAATCAGCAACCTGATTTTGTTTTTGAAGTATTCACTACAGATTGTTTTTTGTCTAAAGTTCATTATTGTTTGATAGAAACTCTTTAATTCTTTATTTTATGATTTACATTTATAAAGTAGTAATTTTAATATATTAAAAATTATGGAACTAAACTTATAATTATTTTATGATTTATAAATATTAATATGTGCTAAATTGAAAAACTAATAATAATTAAGAAAACAAATGGGAAAGAACAAGTGTAATTATTTTTAACCATTAATTTTCTTATTTTTATTTGTTAACCAGTTATTTAAATGATATTTAAAAATATCCAATTAAATGAAAATTATACAGATTAAAATAATTTATTTTCTTTGTAGAATTCAATGAAAAAAGCTCTTGCTACTTTCAGTATGAATGGAGATGAATTTGAATTTGGTATGTAATTAAAAGTTAGGTTTTCATATAATTTTTATATTGATTTTTACTTTTAATAGTATATTTCAGTCATAATTTGTTAGTAAATTACATATTTTTATGTATCTAAGCATATTAAACTTTATTAAGCCAAACAATCTTGTTGAAATTATCTGGCTACTTTTGGGCTACATTAATAATTAATTCATCTAGAGTTAGTTACAGTGATACCCCAAACTTACGCGATAGGTGGGACTGAGCGATAACCGCGTAAGTCGAATTTGCATAAGTCGGGGTATAATTTCGTAATTTGTGTAAAATCCAAATTCGGATGTATGTAAGCTAACAAATGTTCTCGTTAATCTTATCACGTCTTTTGATTCATTCACGGTTACAAGAAATCACCATATAGAGTCTCTCAAGTCTCCGTAGATATAACAAACACAGAAATAAATAACACAAAATAAATTGTAACTATGCGTCGATTCCGCGCGACACATCCGACATGTAAGCTGTCCCCAATGTAAGCTGAACAATAGTGTGGGGGGAGTGAGTAATCAAGAACTGCGTGCCGCTCAAACAAAAGACGAATCCACGAGATTTGAAAATCGCGTAACTCCGGGTTCGCGTAAGTCGGGGTAGCGTAAGTTGAGGTATTACTGTATACCAAAAGTAACCTGATAATTTCAACAAGATTGTTTGGCTTAATTATTTAAAAATTGGATTATGAGTTGTTGTTTATATATGTTAATATTTAGCTTTTTTCAACAAATTTCTTTGAAGTAACGTCTTGTGTACAATATTTATTACTATCTACCTTTGACAGTCAAAACTGAATAATTATTAAACTTACTTAATTATTACAATAATTACTTAATTATTGTGAATTTAAATTATTGTAATTTTTTAGAAATTTTTTGAAAATCATTTTATTATTTTAATGATTGAAATTTTTCTTTATGAACTTATATTGTTTAAGAATTACATCTTTAATCCATTATAAAAGTTTTAATAAATATCAATCTTTATCTAACTACATAATTAAAAATAAATTATTATTTAAAATAGAGTCAAATCTCCATTATTACATTATCAGATTATTAGATGTGAAGTTTGTATTAATGTAAAGTAGATATGTGGTTTCTTGAATGAGGATAGGCATTTGCTTTTGTTTGATAATGCTTTTGTTTGATAATGCTTTTGTTTGATAATGCTTTTGTTAATTTGCACCATTTGATTAGCAAACGCTATGCATTTGCTAATCAAATGCATAGCGTTACATGCATTTGATAATGCATGTAACGCTATATAAAATCAATCAGAGCCTGTAATAGTTTTCTTTGCAATAATATATTTATTAGTTTCAATAAATTGTTGTTTCATTAATGCAACACTTTGGTAATAAAATGTTAAATTTTGTCTTATAGTAGTCTATGAAAGCATGTAGAATTTTTTCCAATAATTACATACCAATGCTGTTGAATTAGCAATTTAATGTATAAAGCACATTTAAATAAAGATTACATTCAAATCAATTTCTTTAATACTTATAGAAAGAAAACATTTGCTATTATCTAAATCTGAACAGAGGGTATTTAAGTTTTAAGAAAAATGTAATTTTTTTTAGAACTGTTGAACACTAGATCGTGTTTTTAAAACAATCCACAAGAAAACAACAAACAAACAAAAAATGTAATATTGTTTTTTAAAGTTATGATTATGAGTACTATTTCAATTCTTAATAAGAAAATATTAAGAATTGTTAAGGTGAATAGTTAAAGTGTTTTTTGAAATAAATTCATAAAGTGAAAATTATTCGTTTGTTTAATTAAATCATTACTAAATAAGTGCAAACTAATATTAAGTAATTTGAAGTTAACGAAGGAAAGTTATATTTCAAAAATAACATTATGCAAAGATCTCCAGTTAAGCGAGGAAGGCCTCCACTCACAAGATCGAGAACAGAGAACAAAGAAGCCTATTCTGGTACTTCAAGCTCAAAACTCATTACGGATTATGGAATACAGTTGAATAGTAAATTGCAAGAAGAAANCGATGACGTTTGAGGTAATTATAGGGGGTTTTTACTGTTTTTTATGGATACCGGTCACAATTTTTTCGTAGTTTTATAGGAATCGTAATTATAGGGACTGTAATTATAGGGGGGTCGACTGTATTATTTATGCAAAAATAATTTATACACAAAACATTTTTTTATGTTGAGTATCTTATTTTTGGATGGAAAAAAATTCAGTAGGTTGAAGCAATAGTGGACAGTAAAAAGTAATATTCTGATGGAAGATTTATGCAAGTACTCTAGATTGGTTTAACAATGATGTCAACTTGTATGTACTACAGTAACAAGCAATTGTTGGATATTAGCAATATGCATGTTTTCTCAAAAATGATGCCTAAAATTTGAGGAAAAATATTTCATATTTTTACTATATCCCATGCATTAATAAGTTCTGGTATAAATAAAAATGTCTACAATTTAAGTTTATTAAAACAAACAAACAAACATATTTTATGAAAATTTAGATAACAACTTATGTATTTCTAATGTTCGGAGTCCACCACGTGCTTTGATATGAATCTTGTCCTGGGTCTCCACTCGCTTTGGTAGTATGAATGCTTTCCATAGGAAAGCAGCACATTCTTTTGGAAGAGATTTCTCGAGGGCTCGTGTGGGATTTAGCATGCATCTTTGGCTCACATTTTCACCATGTGGATTAATCTAATGTATTTGGGTCGGGCAACATGATAGGCCATTATTCCTTTGAAACGAAATCCAGAATTTGCTCTTTTAATTGATCCCATGTGGATTTGGTACTATGGGCCAGAGCCAAGTCGTGCCAAAAAGTTTGAGTTTGATTTTTGAACAGAGTTCTGTTTGATGGTTCTACTGCTGCTTGGAGAATGCCTTGTATTTCTGATATGTATTCTAAAGGTCAGTTTATAGTGCACTTCTGTTAGGCATTGCAGTTCTGCCAAGATGTGCCAAAGGTCAATGTTCCGTTACGGTTTAACAGTTAATAGTATATTTGACACGAGTCTGTTGTGGTCTGATTGAATTCTTGTTTACATGTGATGTAAACATATTCCTTATTCCATAATGTAAATATATTTAAAATGAGCTGTTATTTTTGTTAAATCAAGAATAATATCTATAATATCTGTACAATATAAATTGAATTTATTTATTATATACAATATAATAAATAAATTCAATGTAATGATATTTGTTAGGCTTATTTTATATATTTCATTCTTATCTATTACTATTACTCCAGGAAACAAATCACTCGCAGTTTTAATTCATATAAAATCTCAATTTATTTTTCGTCCTTTTAATTCAAATGTTATATAAAATTAGATAATTTTTTACAGCATTTGTGCAATTTTCATCTATGGCACAACTATTCTCCAGTTTTACATTTGTATGAGATGAAATGGAGCATTTGTGTAGAACAGGGCTTCTTAAACTATGGGTCACGACCCATAGTTTAAGAATTAAAATCTTGCATCATTTTGCATTAAATTTGAATTAAAATCTTGCATCAGTCATTTTGCATTAAAATCAAATCGACAAATTGCATTAAAATCTCGCGACCCCATATGAGGTCAAGAGATTTTAATACAAAATATTGAAAATAATTTGTGAGAGTTTGAAAATGGCACACTTTGTGTCATAGGTTTCATGAGTTGTGCTTTGTGTCACTTCTGGTGCAGCGAGACAACGATTCAGCAACATTGTAGTGTGAACTAGTGTAGTGTTGTCGCTTTTCAGTGTATTCAGTTGTCTCTGTTCTATTGTAACACAAGAGTGAACTGTTGTAGTACACCATTATTGTTTTTGCAAATTTGTATATATCTATTTTATTTTTTTTTGGGTCACGAAAAAAGTCACAATTATAAATGGGGTCGTGAATAAAAAAGTTTAAGAAGTTCTGGTGTGGAACACGTGATACCGTACCACAATTCTGTCGATTAATAGAGAAACATTGAGCTCGACCACAAGCCAAACTTTCCATTAGACCAGTGTTTTTCAACTCTAAACCTTTTAAAGGTACTATGCTGCTTATCCTGGGGAGCAGACAAAGTTTCTATGCTCAGGATTTATAGGGCCCTTGTCCGCTCTAAGCTGGACTACGGTTGCATTGTTTATGGCTCTGGCGAGAATCTACTCTTCGGATGCTGGATCCAATCCACCATCAAGTACTGCGTTTGTGCACTGGTGCTTTTCGAACTTCTCCTGTACAAAGTTTGTATGTAGATGCTTATGAGCCTCCACTGTCTCTTAGGAGAGAACAGCTGTCTCTTTTCTATTATATAAAACAAAAATCTCTTACTAAACCTTCGGTTGATTGTACAGTATTAGATGCTAAGCTGAAAACGTTATTTGAAGCTTGTCCAAGTAGTGTCTGTACATTTGCCATAAGAATGGAGAATGTGAGCAGCACGATTGATCTGAACACAGGCAACATTTCACAGCTAGAGGTTTATAGTATAATACCTTGGTCAACTCCTGTGATAAATGCTGACCTTAGCTTAAAGCAATTTCCTAAGGACTCCACCCCAGACTATATTTACAGACAGCACTTCGCAGAAATTCAACATCGTGACAGGAATCTAATTTCAATATATACTGATGGATCTAAATCTGATAACTATGTTGGCTTAGCCTTTGTTTTCCAAAATGAAATTGTGGCAGAACAAATAGCACTGAATTCTTCCATCTTTTCTGCGGAGTTGCAGGCTATTTATTTAGTCCTAAAGTATATAAATAGGAAAGGTCATCGTTGCTGCGTGATTTACACTGACTCAGTTAGTGCACGTCAGGCTTTGATCTCGTACGAACCTAGTTCTCACTCCATAGTTACTAAAATTCGAAAACTAATTTGCCACCTCACTACGAGAAATTGTTTTGTAAAGTTTTGTTGGGTCCCAGGCCATGTGGGTATAAGAGGTAACGAAGATGCTGATACAAGTCAGCTAGTCCTTCACAGCATACAATGCGTATTGAAGGAGGTGATTTGAAGCTAGTCATTAAAAAACGACTAGCAGAGAGATGGCAAAATATGTGGAATGCACAAATACACAATAAACTACACGAGATCAAACCTTTGATAGAAAATTGGACACAATAGGCTGTATGATAGGAGATCTGAGGTTGTCCTTACTTGTTTGAGAATTGGACACACTCGACTGACTCATCAATACCTTTTGAAGGGAGATGACGAACCGGTATGTCAGTACTGCAACTGTACTGTAAGTGTTAAACACATATTTTGCAACTGTGTTGCTTTTGACCAAAGTCGTAGACAGCATTTTGGAAATGAAAGCTTCAGAGAGATCTTGGGCCAGAGGCCAAATCTGCACAATATAGTGGACTTTCTGAAAGTCAATAATATGTATAGAGAGATTTGATCACTTATTTATTTATTTATTTTACAAATTTTTTACCTTGTTTTGTCTATTTATATTGTATATATTTTTTGTTGTTGTTCATATATTTATTTAATTTTGTGATATAAACAAGACTATGTCCATATCGAACATCTTTTGAAATGTTTAAAAGATTGGAATGCAGCAAAGTTTGAATGATAGAAATTTTCAAAAGATAGAACGGTTTTAATGTATTCATTCCTGATGAGGGCCTCTAAACAATGGCTGAAAACATTTGAGCAGTAAAATTTTTTGTTTATTGTTTGGAAAATGCAACCTACTCTTTTTTTCCAATTATATATCTCTGCATGTAGGTGTTGGTTGTTTGGTAGGAAATCTATATATCTTATTAATGAGTTTTTTAATACAAAATATAATCAAATTGCATTAATTATTTTAATTTTTAGTTTCAAAGATAGTAGGAACATCTTTTTAATGCAAACTATTTAATAGTTCTGTCAAAATTAATTAACTTTCAGTTGTTTTTGATTGCCAGTGATTTGGCTAAGGAATTAATTGTTTAGCCAAATTGATCAGTCTGTAAAGTTTGTCAAATTGTTTTATTCCAAATGATCAATGATTCAAAAACGTAAAAATAAACATATTAAATTTAAGAAACTAGNCTTTCAAGAAATTCTTTAATTTAATTGAATGTGACACTGAATGTGAATGCTGAAGACAAATTATCATTAGGGTTAAAGAATAAAATTTATTAAAACTTGTTTATTTAATTTTGTTAATATGAAAATTTTTCACCATTTGCTTTGGTGCAGCTTAGCCTATATGGCTCTTGCGCCGACAAAACAAAACAATCAATCAAACAAACAAACATTCAACCTTCTTGAATATGCGACCCCTTTACAAGTTAAAAAAATTCTGGCGACCCCCCCCAGGACCATATTAAAACTATGTCAGTGATTTTAAAAACTACGTATTTAATTTTCTTTCTGTTGAGACCTAAATATCGATCGAAAAACCAATTGTACTTTAAAATAAACAGGCATAGCCTTCTCAATAAAATTGTAGTTTTTTTTATTGTAGTGTAGAACCTACAAACACTTGTCTTTTTCTTTTACCCGCGACCTCCCGTGTAAGGCTTTGCGACCCCCTTGGGGGTCGCGACCCACAGGTTGAAAAACACTGCATTAGACCATTATGAGGCTCGTTGTCGTTACTTAGTGGAACCTGACCGTCGGCATTACAAATGCTGTAATGACAGAATGTTGTCAACAGACGTGAGCAAAACAACGTTGTGGACTATTATATTGACGGTAATTAAGGTCGGTTTAAACAGTTCTGCTTTGCCTTGTCGACCAATCCCTGCTCGGATCGTCACACTCCCGAAATGGCACATCCTTGCATTATTCCAGACATGCAGGGGAATATCTTACACTGATTTAATGTAGACAGTCATTTCGCTTGTTAAATTTTTCCTTTGCAGTAAAAAATTTTTTTAACCGTGAAGAAAATATTTTTTACATCTTCGAAATCTCTGCCTGCAAACCATTTATGTACCTCTTCAAAAGACGGCAACAGTGACTCTACCTTTTTTTTTTTTTTTTTGAGCCAGCATCAACACGTGGTAGGTAATACAATTTAAGCTTGGGCTTTCTTTTAATGCTAGACAGTGTCTCGAGACTTCTTTCTGCAAGGTCGGCTCTCTTTGGCATCGTCAAGGATTTTTTATTTGGCTCTTCAAAGCCTTAAGCATTCCTGGAATTTTTATCTCTCGGACTATCACTTTTCGGTCAGTCCTTAATATGGTCACTTTCCTCATTACCTCTTTATGTTTCGATATGCCTCTTTATGTTTCGAATGTTACAAGTTTCTTGTAACATTCCTGAGTTTTATCAAACAGAAAATTTTAAATTTCTTCATTTCTTGAACTGTCTCACAGCTTCATAGTTTCTTCATGGCTAACAGAACAAAGACTGCAACATACCTTACATAGAATTCAAAAAATGTCCAAACAACAAATAGAACATGTATGAAAAATAAAATGATGCTTTATGTCACAGGTGTAAAAAACAGATTTTATATTCCAGCCTCGCATATTAGGTATTAGACAATTTTATACATTTTTATGTTTTATCTTTGGCTAATTCAGCCTTTTTCGTTTTGTTTTCTCAATTACTAAATGAAAATCTTTTGTAGGTAGTTGCAGATAACTTGGATTATGTAACATTCTTGTATGAGACAATGTTTAGTTTGAAAAGATAGCCAAAGTTGTTATAATTACTAAATACAATAGGAATTTTATTTGATAAATCTCCAAAATTCTCCAGTGATTGTAAAAGTTTAAATTTTGTTTCTCCAGAAATTTAGCAGGATTTCACTTTGAAAAACTGCAAACACACAAATGCAACTTCATTTATGTGTTTGCAATTTAGTAGCAGCTTTTTAAGTTGAAGCAGGATAGACATTTCAGCAGTTACACAGGTTTGATCCCCCTAACAAACTTCCCTGCAAAATTTCAGAAATTTTCAACATAAAGCGCAAGAGTTAGTTATTAAGCCTTAGAGAGGATGAACAAAATTGTACCCCCCACAGACACAAACTAACATCTACACATGAAAAAAATATGGGGGTAATTTCTGCATTTGTTGATGTTTTAAGTTGTCCTAAGTCCAAAAATGTGGGGGGGGCAAGTTTTGCCAAAACCCCAAAACTTCCCCGTGTTATAACAGCCGGGAAAGTAAAAATACACATAAAGTGAGCAATAAGAATTCGAGATAATTACTGCATGTGTAATATCTTCTATAAGCCTAACTCTACATGTTTGCAAGGTCTCCCTGCTCAAAAAATCCAATTACAACTCATCAGATGTTTTTCTGATAAGAAAAAATGAAAATGACACATGCAATTCGAATTGAAGTGTAATTAACACCGAAGAGGGATGTTAATATTAAAAGGGTTAATTATTCTTTGATCCAAAATGGATTCTTTTCAGGTCATGTTTTCTGAAAAGAAAAATTATTTGATCAGTTGTAACTGGATTTTTTGAGAGACTTTGCAGGCATGTAGAGTTAGGCTTATAGAAGATATAATATATAAACTTCTTTATGGGGAACTACAATATTAAAGATAATTACTATTTTGTAACCAAAATGCCGACGGACCCGTGTGTTGCCGACGATATTCTGCTAACATTGTATCTAACGTGTAATTGTGCCATACTAAAGTATCAATTTCATATTGAAAGTTTTGCGGCTTTTGTTAATAACTCCATGAAAACAATTACTAAAATATCAATGTAATATTTATTAATTACAGTTTAATGATTTTTACATTTCACAATATAAATATAAATCGACTTCAACAATTTATAATTGAGATCCGTTACTGGAGGAATGAAGTTGTCTTTTGGTTTCTGATAAAATTTCTAATAAATACAATATTCACAAATCTTTTTTACCGTTTTATGCAAATAAAATTTCACATCCTTTATTTATAATGGCGAAGATGGGACAAAATTTTTCAACGGACAAATGCCCCAGTCAGAAGTCCCGCACGAAAGACGTAGACGTCGTCTTTACGATATACGAATGGTTATCCGTCATTCTTTTCACATAAGAAGTTCACCAGCATGCCGCTCCATACTTATCTTGGCGATCCGTTTCTTTCCTTTGATGGCTTAAAAGTAATAAGAAATTATTTTCAATAATCATTTTTATAAATGTGATAAATTTTAAATAAAGTAGAAAAAAACAGAAGTATAAAACATAAAATTTACAATAGTTAGCAATGCTTTTAATGTATTATTGATTCTAAACGTTTTTTTTTATATCAGATAGAATAAAGTTTTTTCTGTAGTTCTTACATTTGAAAACTTCCTTTGATGTTAATATTAAAGAATTTTGTTTGTTAAACTTCAAATGTTTTTCACCATTAGCAGATATAAAGCACTCCTCTATGTGGCATATGAGTGCCTTTCTTGCAAGAGACTGGTTCTGCTGAGATTCAATAATGGTTGAAAAGGAACTGTTAAGATGTATCTTATCCGAACGGCAATTAACCGAAAACTTTCCAGTTGGCAAATTTAAATTTCCGCTAGTCCTGTGGTGTTGCAATATTTGGCTATGTCTTGGGCTACTCCAATATTATTCTTGTTGGTGTGAGTGTTTTAGCTGGCAGCACTGGTGCGACCATGAGAGGGTACTTAAGGACGCACCAGGATTTGAATGAATTTCAACATGGGATAGATTAATATATTTTTTGTACATAATCGGTTATCCATAAAATCGATTGTCCCCAATTGATTTGGATAATCGATGCTCTACTGTAATTTTAAATATTATAATCGAGATGGGTTGTTGATAATAAGTGCAGAGTCCAAACGATTAGGAGTTGAAATTTGGTATGTCGTGAGTTGTACGCTAAGAAGGGATTTTTCAAAATTCCTTCCTGCAAAGGAGAGGGAGTGGGTTAAGGATTACACTGAAGAACTATTCTTCTACTGTACTATTTTAGATGTGGTTTTTTGCGTTTTTGACTGCGTTTTAGTAGGGTATGTCATGAGAATGCACACTAAGAAGGGATTTTTGGAAATTTCACCCCGAGGAAAAAGGATGTATCATTAATTATTTACACTTTATACTCAACCTGCCACAATCTGGGCATGGTATTGGATGTCAACCTGGACAACGTTACTAAGCTGCTTCCTATATATGAGCCGCTGAATAACATCACTCTCTGCCACCTTGTGTTAGAACTAGAACCAGATGTTTCCGGTGACCAATGAGTGACTGCTTGTCGGAGAAAGAGCCTACTTAAAGCTAGTCTCTCCATATGAACATTAGAAGAAGAAGAATACTATTGATACATATTTAATAAATTAAATTGTTGCATTTTGTATTTAGTTAGTGAAATAAATGAATTATAACATAAAATAAATTTTTTTAATGTTTTTGTATTTTATTTAATAATTTTTTTTAAAATTTAAATGAAAGAAAATGAAATTAAATTTAAAATGCTGGAGTCCGAGTCTACACAATTTTCCCGACTCCGACTCCTCTGGCAAGAAATTCCTCTACAGCCCTGACTACAACCTTGGAATTCACAATTCAATTAAAGAAAGGTTGCATGTTTTTGTGGAGTGAGAATTTTGGAGGAAGAGGGTCTATGGAAATACCATCCTGTATATACCATTATGTTACTACTGAGGCTACTATTGGTGACTGAAAGAAGCTGACTTTGTGGTCATACAACTGTTTGGTCAAAACAAAACCATTACATGATAGCCATGTATCTGATGTTAGTGGCCAATGATGTATTTTCAGAAATAACACACAAATACCCAGTAAAGAGCCACATATTTCTCAGTTGTGATCAAGACTTTGCTCTAATTGAAAAATGGAGAGAAAATGCAAAGCCTACATGCTAAAGGATCTTGTGGACATCATTAAAAGTGCAGGGACTAAAAACCTTTTTACCTGCGTAGTATTTGAGAAGTTTCATGACTAAATTAATTGCCCATGCATTTTTGAATACAAAAGACCTGGATATCTCAATAGCATCCCAAAGTAGATTCTCATCAAATAACTTTGGTAAAGTTATGGTTGCTAAAGGTGGAGGTAAAGCAGTAGGATGGTGAAGTGGGAGTTAATGTGCTGAAAGATAAAGTTAGCATTGATGATTTCAAAAATCTTCCATTTCCTCTTGCTCACTCCCATTTTGGGATTCCTCAAAAGAAGAAACCTGACATTGGTAAAATGATAGGTTTGTGATATTGGATTTAAAAAGGTATTTCAAAGAGATGCTAGCAGAACAGGATAACTGAATGCCGGATTACTAATATAGATAGTTAACCTGTATAACTTTATTATTTGATATTTTCAAAATGATATTCGGACTTCCATTAATCTTTCAAATTTGAAATTTTTAAATACACTTTAACTTTTATTACACTAAATTAATATCTTATCTAAATACAGTAATACCTCGAGTTACACGATTTTCAAATCTCGTCGATTCGTCTTTTGTTTGATTACTCAATCCCCCCACACTATTGTTTGGCTTACATGTTCAGACGTGTTGTGCAGATTCGACACACAGCCACAATTTATTTCGTGTTATTTATTTCTGTGTTTGTTATATCTACGGAGACTCGAAAGACTCTATGTGGTGATTTCTTGTAACCGCGAACGAATCAAAGGACGAGATAAGATTAACGAGAACATTTATTAGCTTACATACATCCAACTTGGGTTTTACACAAATTGTGAAATTATACCCCGACTTATGCAAATTCGACTCACGCGGTTATTGCTCAATCCCACCTATCGCGAAAGTTCGGGGTATCACTGTATATAAAATTACTTGTCCTGACTGACTGACTGATTCATCATCACCAGACCAACCCACTGAACCTAGAGGTGAAATTTAGTACACAGTTACGATATGCCATGGGAATGCACACTAAGAAGGGATTTTTCGAAATTCCCCCGCGGGAGGGAGAGGGAGAGAATTAAGGATTAACTGGAAGAACGGCTTCTACTATACTATTTTAGATGCAATTTTTTGTTTTCAACTACATTTAGTCTTCATCGAGTACTTAGGTGTATTAAATTGATAACATTTCAGACATTGTTATAAATATTTTCATATATTTTGATTTTAAAAATGTTCAAACCATTTTAAATTCAAATTTGTTATTGCATATAGGTTCGATTATAGAACGATTGTAAACGTTCCAGAAAATTGATCAAATCGAAAATAGTTCGTTTGATTCTTGGCAGTAGGTGTTATATAACAATTACTACGGTTGTTGAAATACCAAATATAAATAGGGTTTGCTTGCAAAATCCTCACGGGCAAAGCTGCGGGTAACAGCTAGTCTATTCGCGTTTTTCACCGGATGCTCGCCCTCTGGTGTTTAAAAACAGAACTACTCTATCTGGGTCATTTGAATGTTCTTCATATATTGTCAACAGTAAAGATGAATAGTAAAAGTAAAGCTTTCTGTTGTGTTCCAAATTGTAATTCCAAAGCCATACGCGATCCCAATATAAGTTTTCATGTATTCCCACATAAGATAGTAATATATAATTCATTTTACATTGACGACTAACAAATGACCCAGATAGAGTAGTCATTTTGTAAAAATACAGCGCCCTCTATAGTTCATGAAAAACGCAAATATATATAATCAAGACGAGTTGATAATGATACTAACAATAAGCACAGAGCCCAAATGGTTAGGAGTTGAAATTTTGTACACAGTTAAGCCTGGTACCCACATGCGGCAACGGACTACGGAAACAGTCGACGGACCAGCAAAATGACGTCACTTTTGCCTTCGACGGAATACAAAGTTGAAAATTTTCAACTTTTGCCGCGACGGAAAGTGGCACGGTAAAAATTAGACCAATAGGAAGACTGTTTAGCAATGTCGTCATAAAGATCACGTGGGACAATAGCATTTGAACTATGGCGGTCAGCAAGCTAAAAAGCTTTATTTGTACACTAATATATTTCATTTATACTCTATATTACTATCCGATTTAAACATTAATGTCAAATAGACTTACTTACTGCGTAAAGTATTGGGAATGGAGTAAGCGTAATTCGGCGACGAAAGTATTCGATATTTCTAACTTTCGACGATTTAGAATATTTTTCCTATCCAAATTATTCGTTTTTGAGGTTTTTTTTATTTGCGATAATATTGAAGGCAAACTTAAAAAGTTTAATTGATATAACAAAGCAATCCCGGTAGACGCCATTTTCGACTACTGGCATGTAACCTACCTACTGTAGTAACTTGTTTATATTTACAACTGGCAGATCGCGCGTTTCAATTGTAGGGTAATTTCCACATGTAAGTACACGCAACACGGAAAGACGACAGAACGGCAACTGTTTCCGTCGACGATTTCTGTCGTTCATTGCCGCATGTGAGTACCAGGCTTTAGGGTAAGTCATGAAAATTCACACTAAGAAGGGATTTTTCAAAATCCCCCCGGGAGAGGGACAGGATTAAGGCTTAACACTTCTATTGTTGATGGAAGTGTTAAGCCTTAAGTAACAACGGAATTGTTAAGAGAAAGACGTGCAAGATGCAGATGCAGGTTTTTTCGTTTTTGCAAGAAATTGAACATATTTTTAGACCCATCTAAAAATTCTCTAATTACTCTGGAAATGGGGGACCCAATTCTTGCATTCTGTGAAAACAGGTAAGGTTGACTGTAACATAATAATCTTAATCGTTGCTATCGTTACTTTTTCCCAAGCAATGCTGGGCCTACCTGCTAGTTGTTTAATATAATTATGATAAAATATACAGTCCAATTCCAAGTACAAAAACTGAGGGACCAACATTGATGAAGCCAGGAAGTAGTCACTAATAGATTATTGCCAGTTTTTAATGTTAAAATTGAGATTTAAATTATTACATTGAATTTTTTGTAAATTGTATTTAAGTTTTTGGTATTCAAAACTATTTTTCAGCTGTAGAAATATCCATTTTACGACCAATTATTTTTGGCATTTTCAATCTTATGCACTTGAACAATTTTGGCATTTACAATGTTATGGCTGTTTTTAAATTTTTTTTTTGTTTCCTTACTATTATACTTAGGTGTTTGAAATTACACTTTGGAATAAAACATTGGGTTTAAATTATTAAAATAATATTTCTAGCATTTCATAAGTTTGTTCATTAGAAAAAGTGTTTTTTCTCTCTCCTAAAAAGTTTGTTTTTTGGCATTTACAACATTATGGCATTGCATGCTTCATTTGATGTGATGTATCAATTTGATTATATTAGTTTAGTCATATGGCATATCACAGAGACCATGCATGCTGTTGTATTTTTTGACAGAAAGTAAGCATGCTCAGAACTTCCTTATCTGAAGTAACAAGATCACCCAGGGGTTCTTGTTGTTCAAATCCAAGGAGTTATAACACACTACTTATATATTGGTTTCCATTTTATATAAAGTAAATTTATCAATTTTAGTGAACTATTGAATAATCAGTAAATACAATATGCACTGGCAGAAATTGAAAGTGTTACACCCACCTGGTATTGTCAGAGACTTATGAAATTGGGACAAGAATCTCTGTGTGAAGGGTATTGAATGATCAAAAATTAAATGAAGTACAGTACATACAGTGGTATGGAAATTATGGAGACATTTGTTATAAACTAAACACTATAGCAATTTTGCATAAGTTGTGAACTGTGTTATGGAACATGACTTTTTTTTTGGTCCACAGGTTGTTGGTGACCAGTTATGCCATATCGATGAGTAAGAACTCCATACACCCAAATGTCTGACTTTGAAAGAGGTTGGATAATTGGCATGTCAGAAATGGGAGCATCATATTGTGAAATTGCTCGAAGGACTTGCTGTAGTACAATGTCAGTACAAAGAGTGGTCACAAGGTGGATGCAGGAAGGGTCCAGTACTCGCAGACCCAACACAGGTCCACACAGAAGTACAATGCCACATGAAGATCGCCATATTGTGCGGATGGCAGTTGCTGAAAGATGGGTGACGGCAGCACAGATTTGAGCAATAGTTACTGCCAGAGTCACCCCATGGACAATTGTAAACCGATTGCTTGATGCTGGGTTGAGATCTTGGACCCCCATGCAACGTATTCCCTTAACCAGATTTCATCGCCAACAACAGCTAACATGGTGTGCTGCTAGACGTAATTGGACACACGAATGGCGTACAGTTGTGTTTAGTGATGAATCTCTATTCTGTTGGGGCCAATATGATAGTTGGCTGGCATGCTGGAGAAAGAGCCCACCCTGCTGTAATTTCAGAGTGCCATTCAGGTCCAACTCCTGGTGTCATGGTTTGGGGGGCAATCAGTTTCGACAGCAGGACCGAGTTGGTGATTGTGTTGAAGACACAATGGTCATTGTGTCTTCAACAAGTGAGCATTGTGAGCAGTATGTGGACAGGGTGATCCATCCAGTAGTCATATCTTTCATGAACATAATCCAAAACGGTATCTTCCAACAAGATAATGCCCATCCTCATGCTGCTGCCATCACAAGACAGGCCTTGCAAAGTGTTGCAATCATGGATTGGCCCATTCGATTTCCAGATTTATCCCCTATCAAGCATGTCTGGGATGCCATGGGTAAATGGATTATGTCTCATAGCCATCCAGCACGCACTGTACAACAACTGACTGCACAAGTTGCACAGGCAAGGAGAGATATACCCCAACAAGACATTCAAGCACTTATTGATTTAATGCCTGCAAGGACCCAAGAGTGTATTCATGCTCAAGGTGGGCATACCAATTATTGAAACATGTACCAAACAGCAATAAAACTTTGTGTAATTCATTTCATTTTGTGTTCGTTTCTTCTGGGAATACCCCTGTACATGTTTACCAAGTTTTGCGAATGTCTATCAATTCCATCTGGGTATAACACTTTCAGTTTCCGCCAGTGTATTTACTAAATTATTTATGGAACAAAGTAAAAGTAGTGCACAGTAGGGGCCTAACTGAAAACATGTGAACATCCTTGCTCCAAAATTTCTGAATGTCCTCTAATGGAATATATCATATAAAAACACATATCTATAGTACTGGCTTAAGTCAAGAAGTGATTAGCAACCAACTTTGTCTACTCAAGATGAGGATGCACATGATCAATACCTATGATCAAAAACTATCAAGCATAGTTCAACAAAATGCAAGATTTGAATTTATTCATCAAAATTTATTTCATCCCCTTCAAAGTAATCTCCTTCCACTGCAATGCATTTATGCCAACAGCTTTTCCAATCCTCAAAACTTGCTTTAAACTCATTTTTGTGAAATCCCTTCAAGACTCACATCAAATTTTGTTTTATGGCATCAATCGACTCAAAATGGTGACTACGAAGCAAAAATTTTAGTTGAGAAAACAGAAAAAAGTCACACAGTGCCATATTGGGTGAATACAGAGCTTGCAGAACCATATTTCTTGGATTTTTGGACAAAAATTCACCAACACAAGAGCATTGTGAGCAGATGTATCACTGTGGTGCAAAATTCATGAGTTTTCTCATCACATCAACAAATTGCTTCATGCAAACAATGCAGAATATCCTTTTGTCAACAGTTTGGCCAGTCAGGAATTTGTGATGCACAACACCACAACAATTGAAGAAAACAATTAATATGACTAATTTTTGACTGACTTAACATGGTCTTTTTGTCTTCACCTTTCAAGCACCATTGACATGATTGTTGAGCTGTTTTAGTGTCAAAAGCATAGATCCATGTTTCACCACCTGTAATGAGGTATTTTAAGACTGATTCACCTCAAGAAAGCATTTCCTAAACCACTTGAACAAGTTTTTGGAAAAAATTCAAAATTTTTGCGATGACTCAAAGCAAAATGCCGCAAGCCCAAATGATCTTTTAAAGCTTGACAAGATCCAAATGACAACAGAACATGTTCAATAAAGTCCTTAATTGTTAAATGATGGTTGTTGAGCACCAAATCTCAGACTAGAGTGACATATTCATCAGTTGAAGTGGATGGTGTACCAGAGCGTAGTTTTAGTCTTTGACACATTCTTTTCCTTCCTCAAACATCTCGAACTACTCAAAAAACTTGTTTTTGATAGATTATTGTCACCAAAGGCTTTTTGAAACATTTCCAATGTTTCTGTAGCAGTAATTACATTCTAAAACAAAATGTAATGCATGCTCTTTGCTCAATTAACCAGAGATTTTTCAAAATTTCGAGTGAAATTTTGAAAAATCTCCAGTACAAACATTCTTTACACACAAAGCAAGTGTTTATTTGCAAATGAAAACAGATGATGATGTACAGATTGCTGGTATATGTTTATAGATCATATCAAATATCAAAAGAAAGAAAAAAAAATGACAGCACCCTCTTGCATGCAGTTTGATCAAAAAGTATTGGAAACGGTTCATTTAAAATAGTATTTTATAATAACTTTTAATTTGACGAGATAACTCATCAAGTTTACATAGCGTTACGTAAAATTCGGTAGTTAAGGCCACTTTTGACAATTTTTTTTTTCCAATTTTTGGAATGTTTTTTAAGTCCCTAAATTTTTTCAAAAGTTTTTGCCCGTGTGAAAAAATTTTATTGCGATTTTAATGAGCCTTTGATAAGGCTCGATTAAGGCTTAATTGTTTTTTAATGGAATTTTTTTATCAATTTTATTTCATGGTTCCTAAGTTGTAGTGCACGGATTTTCCTTCGGTAAAGTTATTTAAAGCTGCTTTCTGATGTCAAAAATGACCTCCAATAGTTTTTAAATTTTTTAAATTAATATAATTTATTTTATATAAATTTAATTAATTAGAGGGGGGTCGGAAATCGCAATAAAATCTTTAATTTTTTAAAAATATACGCCAATTTCGTACTCACTCTACTTTAAACCCTTGTCCTCCCGAGACGTATATGAGAATATCCTGGGAAATCCAACTCCAGCTGTTCTCAAGGTCATCCAGCTGTGTAAACAATAACTCATCCGTGTTAAATTTCACAGAAAGGTGAGACAAAGGAAAATAAAATTTTAAGCATTTTCTTCAAAATTAACGCATTTATTTTGTTTTTTTCAGTTTTAAGTATTTTTTATGCTTAATTACATTATAATTAAAAACAGGAGTGCGTTAAAGGGTTAATTAATTAATATGTAATTGCTTCTCACGTGTGTTCAATAAAACCTATTTAATTATGATTCTGTAAGAAATCGTTTTGATTTTCCATGTATTTGGTAGCTGGAAGGTTTCACTTAAACTCCAATATATATATGGATATACCATAATATAGAGAGCCTTGCTGCCATGACCCTTGGCTAGTGATGTACTGTAAGAGTGAAGATAAATTCTTAGCACCATTCTGAGGATGATTTATATCTTATGCAAACTGCTGCTGACATGACGCTCATTTAAGAGGGCTGCTCTCTTAACAAGAATCCAGCTAGGGTAAAAACATAGGAGTGAAAATTTGAAACATGATGGAGTGCTGAACTGTAAAAAAAATTTAGGGCATTTCCTTTATAGTCTAATAATCATTACGCAGATGTTTTTGAACCAACCTTAGTAAAAATATATATTGAAATCATGCTAATAATACATGATTTCAAATGACACGACATCACTTGACATCATGTTCAGAAGCTTTGAAAATGTCTCGGAAAGCATTTTATTTTTAATTACAAATTTCTAACTTTTATAAAACTGTTTAACAATGCCTTGGTTTTATTTAAAATCAATCAGAAACCATTACAGACATGATATCAAGTGATATCATTCATGTGTAAAATCAAACAGTTTACAGATGTATTAAAAATATAGTAATAATCATTAAAAGTTCTCAAATGAAATCAGAAACTATATATGTGCTGGTGATTAGGAAAGTGGTCTAAGTCAAAAATAGGAAAACATTGAATATATTTCATGAACTATTTGTAAAATTTTACAATTACATAAATTAACTATTTTGCAAGAGTAAATGTATTTGCGTTTTTGTCTTATAATCATAAAAACTATATATTTTTTAAATTTTTATAAAGTCAAAATATCTTTAAATGAAAAACATATGACTTAGACCACTTTCATAATCACCAGTAGATATACACTCTGCTCTGATTTTATATTTTACCTGGGGAGAAAATATTGGCACCGTAGTCTGTTCCATAACTGATGGATTGAGTAGCAGTGGTACGGTAGAAGATTTAACATTTGTTAACTGAACACCATTATTAGTTGCATTCAAGGGATGTGTTGTCACTGGATGTAAATATGATGAAGCGTGAGTAAAAGTAAATGCAGGTGGGTGAAGAATTACAGATGGTGTAGTCTGATGAGATGTGGTTAGTGGACTATTTGCTTGAAATACAAAAGAGAAATATGTTTAATTAAAGTAATATTATCTTCACCAAATAAATAAAAAATTCACAATATGATTTCTAAATGTCTTCAGAAGTCACATTAGATATCAAATATTTTTAAGTTTTATTGTTGTATTATTTAATTCAGTTATAATTTAATTATTTAAATAAAAAATACATTAATAAATACTAAAATAATCAATTTACTTCAATTTTTATTAGAATATAGAATCATATAATACTTTAAACATTATTTACTTTTTCAATTTTTCTTGTGTGTGTTTTAAAAATTTGGAAAAAACTTGTTTCAGACTATTATTTTCAACAATACAGTAGAGTCCATATATTCTGTCAATTACCAGTTGTCAATATCCAACACTCTGCCACAGGGTAACACACACGAAATTTTCTTGTTACCACTTGATGTATGTGACAGAGAGAGATAATGACTGTACAGTACATGTATACTGTCAGTCACTTGTTGTATATAATCATATAAACCAATCAAAAAATCCAAATCAGAGTTTCAGGTCACTAAAACAAATTGCTATAGGCTAATATCATTCAATTTCTCTAAAAGGTTGGAATAACTTTTACACTTCCATTTAAAGTAACTGCAAAGGCCAATCAAAGTTTTTGTCCCACATTTTCTATTTCAGCCACAAATGATTAGGAGGAAGATGAAATCTGGCATAAATAGTTGCATGCTTTATTTACAAACACTATTTTTCTATATGATATCCATCTGTTTATATGACTTTTCACCACCTGGAAACAAGGAGCTACAGTCTTTATTGGAAAAAGTCCTGTGGCTCTGTTGGAGCCACATCTTCACCTTCTTGAAAACTTTGTCATCATCCCTAAACTTTTGTCCATAAACAATATTCTTCATTGGAAAAAAAGATAAATGTCTAATGGAACCAAATCAAGACTGGTAAATGAATGAACACAGTCCAATACTATTTTGTGATAACTTTTATTCACAAACTGATGTGTAGTCTTGCATTATTGTTCAAGAAGACATCTTGCATGTTCTGCTCTGATTGAACTCAGTACATTTGTCTCACTAGTCTTTGCAGAGTAACCAAATGTGCCTTGAAATTTATTGTTGTTCCTTTCTTCACAATTTGAACAAAATTACTCCGTTTACATCTTAGAAGACATTAAGACAGTTTCCTCAGAGAGAAAGTGATAAACTTCTTATTTTATTTTATTGTACTTAATTCCCTGTATTTTATATATAAGGTTCAAACAAAAAAGTTTCAGGATTGGTCCAATAAAAAATGACTGGCATACATGTTAATTTATTAGGAATTGTCTCCTTCAAAAAAGTTATTTCTGAAGCTATACATAGATTTCAGCATTTTTTCCAGTTTCAAATTTCCTGCAGCTTTTTTTTTTGACATTGTTAAGCACTCATTGCAATTCTGTTTGAATGCCATCATTCTCAAATTTCTGTCCTTTCAAGCACTTTCTCAGCTGTGGAAGTAGAAAAAGTCATACGATGCCAAGTATGGAGACTGAGAAGGTGGAGTGCCACGATCATTTTATTTTTGGAGAGAAACTATTGAATAGCAATAGCTAAGTGGGTGGGAGCTTTGTCATGATGAAACAACCAGCTATGAACTTTCCAAAGCGCTGGTCTTTTTCATCTGATATTTTCACCCAGGCATCTCAAAACATCCATATATAACTTTCGATTCACAGTTTGACCTTGTGAAATAAATTCTTAAAGAATAATTCCCTCCCCATTGAAAATTGAATTTGCTTAAGATCCATTAGCAAGACCTTGACTAGAAGAATTATTGAGCATAAATACAATATCTCCAGCAATAAAACATCAAAGACACTAGCCCAATATCCAACTGAGCCTGGGCTGTTGGTAAAGTGGAATCAGGCAAGTTAATTTTTAAAAATCTTTGGTAAAGAAATGCTTAGAATACTTGAGACATGGAAAATTTGTGCAAGATCATGGTATTAAAATACATAAATGGAAAAAATGCCAAACTCGTTTTTACAGTCTGAAAATGGAATAGGATATACAGTACGTACAGAAGAATTTTGCCACTGTTTATTTTATTACTTCATATTACAATTTCATTTACATGGTTAAATAGTGTAACTGTTAATATTGAAATACAGTAGAGCCTCGATTATCCGACCCCTAATTAACCGACCGTCCTAGTTGGCAAATTTCAAATGTCCGCTAGTGATGTGGTGCTACAATATTTGGCTATGTCTTGGCTACTTTAATATTATTTTTGTGTGTTTTAGCTGGCAACACTGGATCGACCATGAAAGGGAGTCAGTATTTAAACGAGGCTTAATTTTATAATTTTTAACGATACAATAGCGACGATTATTAGTTTAATAAATTGTTAGGCTTAACATCAATGAAAATTCAACACGAAGTAGGTTAATAGCGATATACTAATTACATGGGATATAATAATATACTACACTAATAATGGATTTTTTCATACTTTTTGGTTATCCGACTTTTCAATTATCCGACCAACCCCAGTCCCCAATTGAGTCAGATAATCGAGGCTCTACTGTAAGAGAAATGTTTAGTTCTATGTAAAATATCATTTGAAACTGGTGACATTGAACAACTTTGAAAAAAATTTAGAATATTCACTTTGCAGATCTGTAAAAGCCTGAAGCTGGCCACTAAACAGGGCTAAAAATGTTTGCACTGTATATTTCACATTGTCTTATTACTACTGAAAATATGTGCCAGGTTAATATAAGTTACTGCTGTAATAATTCCATCTTTATGTACTGTATAATCTGTGATTCTTCTGTATCCTACATTCTCTACATTCTAGTGTCAGCTGTTGTGAAACAAACCATGAGTAGACTTCGAATATCTGAAATGCTACATTATTGTGTTCACACTATCTTCACTGATTCCAAGCTATTACGATAACTCTTTGTAAATGGTATATTGATCTCTCTGATAGATTAAATCAGTATATTACACATTTCAGGGTGCTAAAGCTGAACTTAAGTAGCAACTTTGGTTCATCACTCAAGTTGGCATCACCCCTTTCTACTGATCTCAGACTTTCCCAGCATCCAACCGTATTTCTATTAACAGAATGGCGAACATTTTTTAGATGTTTATAAATATTTCCCACTGTTTTTCCATAACCATTAGGAATTTGATGACAACTTTCTGTGACAAATTTCACTATCAGATTCCATTTTGAAAGTGATTTCATTAGATTCTACCAAATGGTTTGGGTGTAACGTTATGGTTCGAAGCAGAAAAGTTTAAATTTAACATAGACCAAACTGCAGCTTTTCTGATCATTTTTGGCCAAAATAAAAAGTGTGGAGCAAAACTTTCTGAATCTCTCATATAATTACATTTTTCATAACTATATTATTACTAAGGCCAAATGATCTGCCACATTATATCGAGCGATAATCAAAAATTGGGTTAATTGATGTTTATATTTGTAAATTATTTTAAAAATATATGAAATTAAAAAATGAACATACCATTCAAATTTTCCTCTAAATCTACTTTTTCACCACTTGATTTTAGTGAATGTAAAGACTGATGCTTTTTAGTCAGTGGTAAATCAACTGAATCTTGTTTTGTTTCAACATTAAGTACATCAACTTTATCTGAAGATTTTCCTTCATCTAGAGATTGAAATTGAAATGATGAAATTGAAGAATTTGGTTTAAATACTTCTTTCTTGAGGTTTGGAAGAAATGTATTAATTCTATCCCATGTTATATGCCAAAGATGACCTTCATTTAAGCCATTGCTATCATTTGTATGATAAAATATACCAGCAGTATCCATAACCAAAAGCATATTCTTCAATGATTCAGGAATGGCTTCATTCTGTAAAAGTAAACATTTTCATTGTTACATTTGAACATCATTTTTAATACTAAATTTAATAATTAATTTAAAACGAATTGAGATAAATTTTTGTAAGAAAATTTAATTTACATTTTTATAATTTTAAAATTTACAATAACTAAAAACTAAGGTTAGCTGTTTCAATTTATTTAAAGTGCTTATTAGTCTTATAATGTTAAAATAATTATACAGGGTGTCCACAAAGTCTGGGTACAGGGGAATTTCACTATTATATTTATTTATGTTATCTTTCCTACCCAGATTGAATGATGGCTCTGTCTAAAGAAGAACGAATCAAGTTAATACTCTTAAGTGGATGAGAAGGATGGTCTTATTGCAGAAGAATTTAACCTTCGACACCCTTATTAACAACCTATTTCACCTGAATTTTGCAAGGTGCATCAAATTATGTATTGAAAATGTTATTTATTAATATTAGAATCAAATAAAATTATTTTGTTTTAAAAGTATGTGTTAATCCTTATGTACCCAGACTTTGTGGACACCCTGTATATTAAGATGAAAAGCCATACACACTCTTCCAGCAAAAATATATGTAATTAAAACAGTAACAACAAATGTTTTCTGCCTCTTTCAATAGCCTGCTTCAGGCATCAATCAATATATTTTCATTCAACAACAAATAGCACTTAATTTTAAAAACTAAAAAAGTACAGTACACAGACATAAAACGTTTATTTATAGTGATATTTATAAATAATATACATACAAATATTAACACTTTATACATCTATACTAATATTATAAAGAGGTAAAATTTGTAAGTTTGGATGTAGGAGGATCTTTGAAACTACTCATCTGATTTCAAAAATTCTTTCACCAGTATTTAGAATAGACTTTCGGGGTGGACATAGGCTGTATATTATTCTGTTAAACATTCATATAAATTAAAAGATATCACCTAGGATTAAGGCTTTTATGTCCAACAGATGGTGCTAACGCCGTGAGTATGACTATCTAAGTTTGCTTTTCTGTGAGGATGAGCTAAAGCAGATCATCATCTATCTATCTATATAAATAAAATTGTAATGTTCGTTTGTTCTACCGATTCCTTTGAAATTTTGACACAACGCAGCATTCGAATACACACGTGTTTTTATATAATATACGTGTCAAAATTTCCCCCACTAAGGGAAGAGGGACAGGATTAAGGCTTACTGTGAAAAACTCTGCTTCTATTTATACTATTTTAGATGCAGTTTTTTGTGTTTTAATAGGGTACGTCAAGATAATGTACACTAAGAAGAAATTTTTTGAAAAATTCCTCCCATGGGGAAACTGTTATATATATATAATAGATACATTTTGAGCCATAACAATGCCTGGCAGGGTCTGCTAGTATAGTATTCAATATTTTACTAGATAGTACCCCATCAAACATGACAGAGAACTATGTAGTTAATGATTTTGTTTTTTGTCTCAGTAAGGTTGGTCAAAACACCTGTGACCCATTTTAATATGTTACCATAGCATAAAAAAAAGAATGTAATGCATTTTCCACCCCTTTCCCTAGTTAATATATTAAGTTTCCATTGAATGTTATTTACTTGTCAGACTGACCTAACTGGGATAATATGGCAGATTATGATGGCATAGATGCTTCTGTCATTTGCACCCCAGCTAGAGAACTGTACCAAAAATTATACAGCCTTGAGAAATCTTTCCTCGCTGTCTTTTCTGAGTAATAGAGACCTTAATTAAATTAATATTCATTTGGTTTCTTAACTGAGATAGGGCAAATTCTAAATAAAAAATGATGATGCTGAATGATATGAAGTAGCGCTATCATTTGGCCATCTGGTCAACAACCTAACTTTGGATATTACATAATAAAATTAGCATCATTAATAAATAATACAAGAATATTAATAGTAATAATGTAACAATACAAAATAATCATAAATAATAAATATTACAATGTGCTATGAAGTGTCACCATAATACTAGAAACATATACTGTCAGACAAGTGTTATAAAAAAGATTTTAACAAAGTACTTTCAACAATTCAAAATTGTTGCCATCAGGCTAGTGAACATCTTGAATTTGGAACAGAATATTGCTATGTGCAGTACAATATTCAAACATTTAAAATTCACATAAAAATTCAAGGATTGCAAGTATGAGAAGGAACAAAAATTTGAAACAAAAGACACAATGAAACTCCCAAAATATTTTTATGGCTTGAGTCCTTGGTGCATTATAACATGGAATGACTAGGATAGTGAGGTGCAGCAGCGTGCCGTCCTTGGAAGTGGTGGAAGCGCCATTTCCCTTGTATTTTCTAAAATATAAATACATATTGCGCAATTATTTTCATATTTTAACATACTTTGAATTCATTAAAATTAATATTTTATTATAACCGCATTATGTATATTAATACAAATTTCTATACTACACATGAAAAAAAACGATAAGATTGCTATTGTATATCTGAATATCAGTGACGGAATGGAAGCGCTGTATTGTCGAAACTGAGTCAGCTTCCAAACAGCCAGATTATCTGCATTCGCGTAAGCACTTTATACAGCATCGACCTCACCCGGTTTAGCTGGTGGAAGCTACACACACAATGTTTCCAACGATTCTATCTAGGACTGGTTCCGGGCTGTTAGCCGCCTGCCTGCTAGATATCTGGCCGCCCTCGCCCCATTATGTGAATCACAAGTAGATTTATAACTTAACCCATTCGACAGGAGTTTACTGGTATATTTTTATGATAGTTCTGTATAGTTGGCAGGAGTTAAAAAAAATCCATTAAAATATTTGATATTTTTATTCTGCTCTCCCATCCTATATTACGTACGGATTTCAATGTTAAACCAGTGATATTATGATTTAGTATGTCCCATCTATAAGGGGATGCAGAAAAAAACGTGTACAATTCTTGTATAAAGTTAAAAAAATTAACTGTTACTTTGGTAGCATCATTTACAACTAACTTTAATGAATGAGACAAACGAGGTACAGAAAAAAGCTCTAGAATATATTTTCCTTAAATTTATGATTTATGTATCTGTTGTCGTAAAAATTTGTCTTTCCACTTCTTTCCCAAGACTACAAATATTCAAGTACAAAGTAATTGGTTTTGACTTATTTCTACTTAAGTAGTAGTTAAATAATTAAGCGATTAGGGAATTATGGACATAAATAAAACCCTGCTAAAAGAGCCAGAATTTTACTTAAACAAATGCTTAACCAAACCAATCTCTAGCAGAGTACATTGGGGACTGATTTCTTCATAATATTGGATGTAATAAAGACAGAAATTTTTCCAGTTCAACGAGAGTGACTGAATAGTAGTAAATTTTGGAAATTTCCATGGACACCTGGTCCTAAAACAGATTAGTTAGAAAACAAACGACTATTAAGTTTAACTCAATAGTCGTCATCATGTCCTTTAAGGTGTGGCCAACCTGCCAACACTTACCGTGCCCTTAGTTTTCAGTCTTTGTCTCCCAGACAGTCTGTCTGACCACGTGTACGACACTGCCGGCACTCTGTACAGTATTTGAGCGCTTAATAAATTTGTTTTATTAATTAAAATCTGCAATTATTTGATCAAGACTCCAAAGTGGTGAGCCGAACGTGATCACAAGAACTTATTTACCCAATTCTGTGAGTATTTATATTATATATTTCCGTCATGAGCAAGAGCGAAGACCCCGTCGAGGTAGCACGTGTATCGGTGAAAATTCCACCCTTTTGGAGAAAGAACGTTAGAGTATGGTTCACACAGGTGGAATCACAATTCGCTGTTTCTAATATCACGACAGAAGTTACGAAATACCATCATGTACTAGGATCGCTTGACTGTGAAATAGCCAAATTGGTCGCCGATGTAATATCCCAACCGTTGACGAGCACGCCCTACACGGACCTAAAAACGCGATTAATTGATGAGTTCGAAGAATCCGAAAGTAGGAAGGCAAAAAAATTACTCCTAGAAATTAAGCTAGAAGACAAAAGGCCCTCAGCACTACTAAGAGAAATGCGGGCACTGGCCGGTACACAAGTAACGGACGAATTTCTTAGAACGCTCTTTCTACAGAGGTTGCCTAACAACATGCGTTCAGTTNTATTGAAAATGTTATTTATTAATATTAGAATCAAATAAAATTATTTTGTTTTAAAAGTATGTGTTAATCCTTATGTACCCAGACTTTGTGGACACCCTGTATATTAAGATGAAAAGCCATACACACTCTTCCAGCAAAAATATATGTAATTAAAACAGTAACAACAAATGTTTTCTGCCTCATTCAATAGCCTGCTTCAGGCATCAATCAATATATTTTCATTCAACAACAAATAGCACTTAATTTTAAAAACTAAAAAAGTACAGTACACAGACATAAAACGTTTATTTATAGTGATATTTATAAATAATATACATACAAATATTAACACTTTATACATCTATACTAATATTATAAAGAGGTAAAATTTGTAAGTTTGGATGTAGGAGGATCTTTGAAACTACTCATCTGATTTCAAAAATTCTTTCACCAGTATTTAGAATAGACTTTCGGGGTGGACATAGGCTGTATATTATTCTGTTAAACATTCATATAAATTAAAAGATATCACCTAGGATTAAGGCTTTTATGTCCAACAGATGGCACTGTAAAAATATTCATTCCTAGAACCATATTGACTAGACATTATCATGTAATTACAATATGTTCATACTTTTAACAATGTTGTCATTAAAATTAAGCCTGGACACATACATAAAAGCACTGACTTTCTTACAGACTGTTAAACACTTCTTGTATTCACACCTCTTTTTCTTTTCCAAGATTTTCTGCCATGACACTCTCCTTACTTTTATATACTCTCTCATGGAGATATAATATGCTTACAGAATAATTTATCTCAAAATCCTACATTCAGCCATCCTGCAAAGACATTTGCCCGGAATGTTTTATTCAAGTGAATTCAATGAAGAATCCTT